ATAAACGTGTATGTTGCTATCTTTGGCTATGTTTGAACGAAGAGCATGCGTATATACATCTGTATTTCGGACATGCCTTGATCGATCGATCAACTTTACACATAATCATACATCAATGCAGCAAACATCAAAGGTAGTGATATCTTAGTGCATCACATTCTATACCGTAAGCATCTAGGTGCGTGCAACCCCCCTTTTTTTTTAAATATACCATATCAAATATTTTTATAACAGACTAGTTTGGGTACTGCTATTTATGTACTGTGGGATAGACTTGTTCTTGTTTCAAAATCCATGAATGAAAATATCATCCTGCCAAATATTAACATCATGAAGCTACTTTTTTCTGTTTTTGTGAAAATGCTTTCTCGGTATACAAAATTTGTTCAAATTCTACTAGTTTAAATTATACTGTTAATAATGTGTTGTCTAGGCATGTATTTTTGTTCTGAAAGTTGCTTGTTGAAAAACATTGTATATATTTCCTTGGATTTCATGTGTCATGCAACTCGTCTAAGAATATTTGAAAGTAATCTTGCACCATGAACGTTCAAAATCGCATTCAAATTCCAAGCAACTATACAGCAAAGCTAGAAAAGACCGCAGTTGCCTGTCTCTGTATTTTTTCTAAGTGTTTTTTCTTAAATCTTGGTTTAACACATCTTACTTTTCTTATACAATATATGTTATGCAGGGATCAGAATGGATGACAGGCATTAGAGTGGCTGGGGCTTGTAATTGACAAAGGTTTTTGGAAGTCTGCTTGGTCATCAGTTGTACTTCCATAGGTTTACTGGATAGTCTATCAAATTAAGTAGTCATGCAGAAAAATATCAATTCAAGTTGGACATAAAAAATTTACAGATAAATTAGTCTAACAAATTACTAATAATCTGTAAATTTTTAGTAGTCCGCTAATTTGGCAGGACAAGATTTGGGAGTCTGTGTGTCTTGGGCTACTGTTATTTTCAAACCCTCTATTTTAATATATCTCTGATTATTATACATCTGTCACCGTAACGCCATAAGTTACAGCATGCCGTAATTTTGCAGTATTTTACGGGGTATTTTCATCCTACCATATTAGGAAATGCTAATTCCAAATATGGAATGATTACGTGTGTAAGCATCCTTACAATAATAAAAACAAACATATCTGCCACCAGGGTTTGACCGGATTCCATACAAAGAAGTTCGCTGATTCTGATCTGAACTTTTTGGAATTCGGCATTCCCATGATGTATGCCTGGAAAGAAAAGATGTATAATAATAAGGTTATTACGAGAATACCTCAAAGTATGCACTCAGACAGTACGCTGTCCCATCGATCTCTGATGAGCGTCGGTCGATACTGCCGCTGTACTGTCGTGCATACTTTGAGGTATCTTCGTAATAGTACATGATAATGCAGAAAGCTATGCCAAATTTGGACAAAGGTATTTGTCAATTCATTACAATACAAAACAACATATACATAATAATTGTCAATTCATACAATAT